TGTGTGTATATAGTACATTTTGTTTACTTATCTGTTGATGGATGTTTCAGTTGTTTCCAGCTTTTGGCTATTGTGAAAAGTGCTACAATGAGCATTGGTGTACAGGTTTCTGCCTTCACTTCTTCTGGGTATATACCTAGGATTGGAATTGTTGGCTTATATGGTAATTCTGTGTTAAACTTTTTGAGGAACTGCCAAATTGTTTCCACAATGGCTGTACCATTTTACAGTCCCACCAGCAATGGATGAGAGTTCCAGTTTCTCTACAACCTTGCCAACACCTGTTGTTTTCTGTTTTTTGTTTTTTTTTTTATCATTTCCGTTCTCATGGGGGTGAGGTGATATCTCATTGTGGTTTTGGTTTGCATTTCCCTAATGACTAATGGGGAGCCCTAGTTAGCATTCGGCTGGTAACCTAAAGGTCTGCGGTTTGAACCCACCAGCTGCTCCTCAGGAGAAAGATGTGGCAGTCTGCTTCTATAAAGATTTACAACCTTGGAAACCCTATGGGGCAGTTCTACTCTGTCTTATAGGGTCTCTATGGGTTGGAATCAACTCGACAGCAGTGGGTGTTTTTTTTGGTTTAATGACTGATGACATTGAGCATCTTTTCATGTGCTGACTGTGATTTTTACACTCTCTTTGCAGAAGATTTGGACGTGCATTTCTTTGATCCACAGACAACCCCGAGGACTTATCCAAAAAAGACAGGTAATGCATTATAAATGGCTATGGGTAATTTGGGGATCACATTATTGATCTCTAAAACTCAATGAGGTTTTTTTTTCCCCTACCAACATTGTTGTTTCTTTTCTGAATAGTTGATAATTAATGAATGCTTGCTATATACAGAGCCAAACCCATTCCATCCCTGCTTTTCTTCTCCCTTAAATTTTCTCTGTCTCTGCTACATCTGATCGTAGAAACAGTTACAGCACAGTCTTGATACTCAAGAAAATAAATGATTGGAGAACCCACGCATGCTGTATAATTGCCGTGAAAGAAGTCCATATTTTAAAAGGAATCTGGTTGCACACAAAGGCCTAATACTTACAGTCATAACCACACTTTTATAAAGTATTTCGTGTGTATGTGTGGGTTCATTGTAAACAGTTTATAACATACTTCCATACTCCACTAGGAACCTCAGTCCATCCCTGGGCAGTGTTATCTGCGGTTACGGTACCAGATTGATAATGGAGGAAACCAAGCTTGGAGCTCTCCAGGGATGTGCCCAGGGTCTGGAACTCCCTGCTCACATGGTCCTCTCCCAGCAGATGTGTGCCGAGCCCCAGCTCCACACTCACCGGGTCACATGCAGGACCACCTCTGCCTCACCACCCTGCCCCCTAAAGAGAAGTGAGCAGAACCTGTCTCATTGACCCCCCTCTACATCTCTCTTTGTTATCCTACTCAAAGCGATGCTTTGGAGGCCGTATAGGAGCTTCAAGGAGCAAGACAAGAGTACTGCACTGATGATACGGACTTCCCCAAGGCACAAAGTGGATTTGAACTTTGTTACTGAATGTACTCCCCTTGCCCTTCCCCTGTTTTAGACAGATGGGATCGTTTCACCACTACCACAACCAGGAGGCCCGCAACAACCCGAGCTCCAGCAAATCTGCCAGGTAACGCAGCTTCCCTGAGGAGGGCATTGAGGGAGGACCTGGAACTCCCTCTGGGAGCAGTGTCCAAATGAGCTCTGCACAGTCTAACCAATTGACTGTTTCCTTTCTGTGTTGGGGCCCACTGAAGGTATTGATGATTTTGACTTGGCTGATGCCTTGGATGATCGCAATGATCGAGATGATGGCCGCAGGAAACCAAGTGCAGGAGGAGGAGGTGAGTTGTAGCTGGTGAGAACCACTGGCCAGCATTGCAGCTCCCTGGTGACGTTCTATTTCATTAGCTGTTTCGTTAGCACAACGGCCCTGACCTGGCAGAGCTGGGGCCAGTCAACGCCCATAAGAACCCTACAACAGTGGTTCTCAAACATTTGGTCTCAGGACTCCTTTATAGTCTTGAAAATTGAGGGCCTCAAAGAGGTTTTTTTTTTTTTAATGTGGGTTATAGCTATTGATATTTACAATATTCGAACTTATAATTTATAATATTAGATCTTATAACAGAAAATGTTTAAATATTTATTCATTAATTCATTTTAAGTTAACAAAAATAAATCCATACATTTTAACGTAGATAACATTTTTATGAGAAATAACTGTGTTTGGAAGACAAACGTAAAAGTTATTGAGAAGAATGGTTTTGTTGTACACGTTTGCAAATTTCTGTCACGTCTGCCTTAATGGAAGAGCTGGATTCTCACATCTGCTAAGCCTTGAATCATTGTGATATGTTGTCATGGCTGAAGTGTAGGAAGAAAACCTGGGCTTAGATATGCAGTTGGAAAAGGGAGAAATATTTCGGTAGACTTTTTAGATCATTGTAGACATTCTTCTTGGATCTGACACCAAAACTCACCAAATGGTTGTTCCTTATAGGTTAAGTGTGGTATGGAATGTGAAACCCTATCAGTGACCTTTCTACACTCAGTTCCATTGAATCTATTGGACTCTCTTGCCCTTTGAATGGATCTTATGCCCATTCTTGACTTTGTAACATCTTGTGTAGGACATTTGGAAAATATTGGTACCCCGAGTTATGTTGAACTTCCAGATGATGCCACATTTCATTATATAGAATCCAAAAGTCACATTTTTTAAACATTTTATTTTATTGTTGATTTTGAGAATATACACAGCAAAACATAGACCAATTCAATAGTTTCTACCTGTACAATTTAGTTACATTGATTGTATTCTTTGAGTTGTGCAGCCATTCTCAACCTCCTTCTCTGAGTTGTTCTTCCCCCATTGACATAAACTCACTGCCCCTGAGGTTCCTATCTAATCTTTTGAGTTGCTGTTATCAATTTGATCCAATATAGATAGATCTTGAAAGAGCACAATGCCCAAGGCAGATATTCTTTACAAGTTAAGCTAAACTATTATTTGGTTTTAAGAAGACTTCAGGGGATATTTTTGGTTTAAGGTTTAAAGATTATCTCAGGGCAGTAGTTTCAGGGGTTCATTCCTGGAGCCATGAGAATTTTAAATTCTGTTCTGTATTTTCCCCCTTTTGATCAGTATTCCTCTGTAGAATCCTTGATCGAAATGTTCAGTC